AAAACCCCATGTCAAAGAATTTGTTTCCAAGATCAAGGCTCAGTCAGAGTTGAGCCCTCATGACTCTCCTCAACTTGCTGGGTTTGTTTTGGATACTTTCGTTTTGGGAATGAATGATTTGGCTGCAGAATTTGGTGTTCCCTGGTATGTTTTCTCGGCTTCAGGTGCAGCTTTTATCGGCTTGATGTTGTATCTTCAGGCCCTTCATGATGAGCAGAAAGCGGATCTCCCTGAGTACAAAGACTCGGATGCTGAGTTGGAAATTCCAAGCTTGGTGAACAGGCTTCCTGCTAAGCTCCTGCCTTCTATGGTGTTTAAAAGAGAATCTCTCCCTGATTTTCTTGGTGCTGCAAGAAGGTTGAAGCACGCAAGGGGCATTTTGATAAATACATTCAAAGAGTTAGAATCACATGCAATTAACTCTCTTTGTAATGGTGAAATCCCTCCTGTATATCCGTTGGGACCAATTGTGAGATGTAAAGGAAATAGCTATGATGTGGGTTCAAATAATATCAACGCCTTCAAGGACATAATGCAATGGCTTGATGATCAGCCTCCATGCTCAGTAGTGTTTTTGTGCTTCGGGAGTTGGGGAACTTTCAGCGTTGATCAAGTGAGAGAGATTGCATATGCATTGGAGCAATGTGGACATCGATTCTTGTGGTCTCTGCGTAAACCTCCAAGCAAGGGTAAGATTGAATCACCAAGTGATTATGTAAATTTTCAAGAAATCCTGCCCGAAGGGTTTTTAGATAGGTCAGTTAAGATAGGAAAGGTGATTAAATGGGCTCCACAAGTGGAAATCTTGGGGCACAAAGCTATTGGAGGATTTGTATCACATTGTGGATGGAATTCTACCTTAGAAAGTATCTTGTCTGGTGTCCCAGTTGCTACATGGCCATTGTATGGAGAGCAACAATTTAATGCTTTTGAACTGGTGATTGAGCTAGGGCTAGCAGTGGAGATTAAAATGGATTCTAGAAGGGATTTTTCTAAAGATGGTATAATTGTGAGTTCTGATGATATAAAAAGAGGATTAGAGCTAGTAATGAAGCCTGATAACGAGACTAGAAAAAAGGTGAAAGAGATGAGTCAACTAAGTAGGAAAACTTTAATGGAAGATGGGTCATCATACTCTGCATTGGCTCATCTGATTGAAGATATTATGGGGAACTAAGTAGCATTGTAAACTTAAGTATCGAAATTCTAATAAGATATTAAATAAAATACATGGTTAAGCCATTTTATGCGATCCATCACTTGTCTACATTGCATTGCATGGTTGATATATAAATTAATTCGAAAATATTTCTTACCATCCAATAAAAAAGTTCTAGTCTCTATAAGATTAAGTCCAATACTATAGTTTATATACATTTCTTTAAAAATTTAATTAGATGAGGAATCAGATTCATTATCTCATTTATAAATTAATTGATAAGAAAACAAATTAAAATAACTAATAAAAGTTCAAATTACTTCAAATATTGTGGATCATCCATTGGCATTAATTTGGTTTAGTTATTGTGTTGAAGCTAATATATGCAAGCTCTCATCACAAAGGGAAGTTCGTAAGAATGTTAAATATTAAAGATTAGGATTTTCTGTCTGATGGTGTTGACTTTTTCTAAATTAATAATAATAATAATAATAATTTTCCATCCGTAAGGCCATGCCCAAACGGTTGGAATTTTTCCAGCCATTTGGGCTTTTAGCTCAAGGTTCTAGTTTGGGCGGCTGAAATGTTCAACTGGACACCTAACATAGATCCGGTCTGCCAGACTTTGGGTTTTTTATGCAGAGCAAGCACCCTTATATATGCCGGTGACACTATGTATTATCAATATTAATATCAATAATATATATGACATAATTCAATAACCAATAATAAACATGAATAGCCAACAATAACATAATAGATTACAAGTTTTGAAAATTAACCAAAATTTAAAAGATTTATTTGGATTTGCTTAATTTTTTTATTTTTATTTTTTCAACACAAGTTTTTTTATTTAATTAAAGATTACGCTTTTTTATTTCATTGTTTCCTATAAAAGTTTTTACTATTTTTTAACATGACCCAGGTTATCGGATTATGTTAATTAATTTTATTTTTTTTTGTTGAATTTATTTTGATAAATTTTTTTAATTCATTTCTTTTATTTCACTTTTCAATGTTAGATTATTTGGGAATTATTTTTTTTTTAATTTTATTTTTTATGGTTATAGTTTTTTATATCAGACTTCATGATTTTTTTTAATTTATTTTTGATATGATTATCTCAATTTTATTATTTAAACCATGAGCTTGATCGGTTAACTTATGTTAATTTAGGGTTTTTTAAAATATTTTTTAATTTAATATTTTTCATGTTTTATTCTTCAACTCTATGTTGTTTTTAGAATTAATATTTGTAATTTTTTTAATTTATTTTTTATTAAGTTATCTTATTTGCATGATTTACTTACCTAATTAATTTTTTATTTACTTATAATTTATTTAAATCATTTTAATTAAGATAAATTTCCAACATAACTACTTCATACGGCTAAAAAAAAAATAATCTTATAAGAAAGAGAGTTTCTAGATTCTCTTAAAAAAAAACCTAATTCAATAATAAGATAAAAAAATTATACCATTTATTATAAACCCGCATGTTTAACCTAAATCAACTGCATCACATATGCTGAATCAATAAACTAAATTTCCTCGAAGGAAATAAAACGTCAACTATGAACACTTTAGCATTATTTTAAAATAAATATCTTTTTTTTTTGTTTACGCATTTTGACCTTGGAAGCAGTAATTGATGCCAATAATTGTGTCCTTCCCTTAGTTTATTTGTTCGCGAAAAGCCCCTTAATTTCCTCCTTTTGTATTGGAAAGTGAATTTGCTACTTTGTTTTTTATCTTTTGTTAGTCACATTGATTGAAATATGAATTTTGGATATATTTATGGATCAGATAAAAAAATTAAACTGATAAAAAAAATTGAATATATTAAAAAAGCTTTTTAATGAATATAAATATATATTTTTTTTCAATTATTAAATCAGATTAAAATGTTATGAGAGTTCTACTGCCCTATTCTCTATAAAATTAGTTATTATAATCAAATGAAATTGTTTACATTTCTAATTAAGTTCAGAAGATGTTTTTTTTTCATTTTTTTAGATATTTTTAAAATATTTTCATTAATTACCTCTTATTTCAAGATTCCTTTTTCTTTTCTGACTATTTAAACATCTTTATTAAGAACAAATTTCATATTAATAATTTATAAAACATGATTTTTTTACAATTTATAATTGTAACATAAAATCTTAAAAATCTTATTTTTGTACGTCAATTAGATAGTGAAAACAAAATTAAAACTTGCCACTATAATCCAGATCTTCTACGACTGGTGGCAGATTGTGTGCCACACCGACAAAGCCAGTCAATGCCAGCAAAGCCACTCAATTGTTCACTTTCCAACAAGATAAGTTCCAATATTACATGGTCCAGAAAAACATACGCTTAAAAAATTATCTCTTTTCTGCTTTTTTTCTGTATATCTTATTTTTTATTATTTTCTGATTAGCCTTTTCAATACTTCTTCCATAAAAAAAAACCATTCCATATTTGATCTGTCTGTTGGAGAGCAACGTCCTTGCAAAATCTTTGCAACCGAAATGAAGATAGCGGAGCTGGTGTTCATCCCATTTCCAGCCATGGGCCATGTGGTACCAGCAGTGCAAACAGCTAAACTTCTTGCTGAATTTGACAAACGAGTTTCCACCACTGTTCTTCTAATGAAACCAGCTATTGACTCGAGTACCATCGAGTATACCAAGTCACTTGCTGCATCAACTTTGCCTGAACGTATGCGATTTATTGAATTGCCTTCTCTTGATGAACTCATATCGAGGAAAGGTATTTGGCTAGATTCTTTGATAGAGGGTCAAAAACCCCATGTCAAAGAATTTGTTTCGAAGATCGTTTCAAAGTCCGAGCTGAGCCCTGATTCGCCTCGACTTGCTGGATTTGTTTTTGATGCGTTTTGCACGGGAATGAAAGATTTGGCCGGTGAATTTGGTGTTCCCTGGTACGTTTTCTCTTCCTCAGGAGCAGCTTTTCTTGGTTGCTTGTTATATTTACAGGTTCTTCATGATGAGCAGAACGTGGACATAACTGAGTTCAAGAACTCAGATGCTATGTTAGAAATTCCGAGTTTAGTTAACCCCATGGCCGCTAGGCTTCTGCCATCTATGACGTTTAGGAAAGATTCGGTCCTTGTTTTGTGTGGCGCTGCTAGAGGGTTAAGGGAAGCTAGTGGTATTGTTGTAAATACATTTATAGAGTTGGAATCCCATGCAGTTAACTCCCTTTCTAAAACTGGCATCCCACCATTGTATCCAGTGGGACCCATTGTGAACGTGGGGTCAGATAAAAGCAATGACAATAGAGAAATTATGGAATGGCTTGATGATCAACCTCCACAGAGAAATTATGGAGTGGCTTGATGATCAACCTCCATCATCAGTGGTGTTCTTGTGCTTTGGAAGCTTGGGAAGTTTTTGTGTGGATCAGGTGAAAGAGCTTGCATATGCTCTCGAACACAGTGGGAAAAGATTTTTATGGGTACTACAAAAACCTTCAAAAGGTAAGATGGAATCCGCAAGTGATTTTCAAGAAACTTTACCCGAAGGATTTTTAGATCGAACAACTGAGCTCGGAAAGGTGATTGGTTGGGCTCCGCAGGCAGAAATATTAGCCCACCGAGCTATCGGAGGGTTTGTTTCGCACTGCGGATGGAATTCTATACTAGAAAGCATATATTTTGGTGTTCCAATTGCTGCCTGGCCGATATACGCAGAACAGCAATTTAATGCTTTTCAACTAGTGATTGAATTGGGATTAGGAGGAGAGATGAAGATAGATTACTTGGAGGGTTCTAACAGTGATGGCTCTGAAATTGTGAGTGCTGACAGTATAAAGAAAGGAATAGAGGGTATAATGGAGGACGATAGTGAAATAAGAAAACGGGTGAAAAATATGAGTCAAGTAAGCAAGCAAGCCTTGACTGCTGGTGGATCTTCACACTCTTCACTGGGTCGTCTGATTGCAGATGTTATGAGCAAAACTCCATGAAGTAATTGATTTTCCTAGAGGAAATTATTTTGAATAAGATTTATAGGTTTAATTAGCTTTTATTTAGAGCAGCTTAATTAATTGAGGAGAACTTCAGCACGAGGAGGTTTTTCAATTTTGCATTATTGTAATCTTAAATTATTAAGTTTGACAGATGTAGTGGAGTCATGAGACATTTTACAATTAAGATGTTGGCTCACAACTTTATAATTAGTTTTCCTTCCACTTCTATATAAAGCGAATATATTCATACCAATAATTATATAGTAAGAAAAAAGAATCGCACGTTTAGTTAATAAATAATTTATATTATTTAATTTATATTATAAAAAAAAAATAGTATTCATCATTTAATTAAAGTTTATATTACTTTTTTCTGTTTAGCTTTTTTTTTCTTTTTTTTTTCTTGATTTTTTTATTTTGATTTAACCCTCCAATTTATTTTTTATTTTTTTATTAATTTTTTTATATGGTTTACTTTTTTCATAGTTACACTCTTCTATGGTTGATTTATTTTAATTAATTAAATTTTATAGTTTTTTTATTTATTATGTTTCTAATTTAATGACTAAGATCGTAACTTTTAAATGTTAATATAATTAGTAATTTTGTTACCTCATTTTATTTTATTACTTTATCATTTTATATCATTTAAATTTTTTTTATGGTTATTTTCATAATCTTTTCTATCTGTTTGTCTTGGTATCAATATATAAACCATGGGTTTTGCAAAGTTGTTTTTGAATAGGGATTGTTTTTTATAAAAAAAATGTTTTGTTTTGTGTTTAATTTTTATTGATTTTTTATTTTATTTTATACAAGTAGGTTTTGTTTTGTATAAAAAAAATAATTATTTTGAAATAATATTTTTAACATGTTCAACTATGCATATTTAATAAATAAATTTAGTGAACATAAATGGATAAATATTTTATTTTACAATATCAAATATCTTGATATACATTTATCTTTTAATTTTTTCAGTTTCTATTTTAGTTATTGTTGACAAATTCTTTATTTATTTACATAAATGATCATTAGATATTTGGATAAATTTTTTGATTTACATTTATAATTTTTATTATGTAAGAAAAAACATATCAAAATAGTCTATATGGTCAAGCTTTTTTTTTTTGAGAAAAAATATTATGACCGGTACGAAGCATAAATCAAATCAAATTTTTAGTTGTTTTCTAATTAATTTTTTTTCATCTTTATGTTTTTAGAATCTTTTGTGTAATTAATTTTTATTTTTATTTTTATCTTTTAATAGTTGATTTATTAGAAATTTAGATTCATATGATCTTATTACGCTATATTTTTTTTAATAATTGTTTTTTAATTATCTTAAATTTCTTTTCTATAAGTTTATTTTATTCTCCTAATGTAATGGGTTTTGCATGTCATTTTTTAATATAAGTTTTTTATAGAGTTGTTTTGTTTGTGTTTAATTTTTCCAAATATTATGCTAATTCATCTAGAATTGTTTTTTTTTTTGGTTTTATACAAATGAGGTTTATTTTTTAAAATAAAAATATTTATTTTTAAATAATATTTGTTGTTATAATTTGGCCTTGTATAATATTTTTTTAGGGCATGAATTTATTTAGTCAATTTTATTTATGTTTATCTTTTAAGTTATGAGTTTTTTAAGTTGTTAATTTATTTTTTATTAATTTTAATAAACAAGTGTATTACTTTAATGAGATACATACATAAATTTTTAATTTTTAAATTTTTTTATGTTAAAAAACACCTATATAGCGAATATTTAAAAACAAAAAAAAATACAAAATCATAACATGTGGCAAAGAGCGGCTTAAAGGGCTATTTCTGTCCCATTTGTTGAAACTTCACAACCTCGAAGATGATCTTTGAAACAAGATCAGCCATTCATCTATGCTATCAATCAATAATTCAGTACTTCCATTTTCTTGTAGAATAGTTGGCTATAAATACATGTCCAGGAATCATTCAAACAAAGCATGAACACTAGCTTAGCAACACCAAATTTTAGCTATGAAGAAAGCAGAGTTAGTGTTCATCCCTTTACCTGCCATGGGCCATATTATAGCAGCAGTAGAGATTGCCAAGCTTATTGTTGAACGTGATGATCGAATTTCCACAAGCGTCCTCATAATGAGGCCAACTCTTGACTCCACTACCACCAAATACACTGAGTCACTCACTCCATCAACTCTACCCTATCGCATGCGAGTCGTTGACTTGCCCTGTCTTGAGCACACCGCTGTATATAACACTGGTGCTACCTGGATGGCTTCTCTGGCTGAAGCCCAAAAACCCCAAGTCAAAGAATTTGTTTCCAAGATCAAGGCTCAGTCAGAGTTGAGCCCTCATGACTCTCCTCGACTTGCTGGGTTTGTTTTGGATACTTTTGTTTTGGGAATGAATGATTTGGCTGCAGAATTTGGTGTTCCCTGGTATGTTTTCTCGGCTTCAGGTGCAGCTTTTATCGGCTTGATGTTGTATCTTCAGGCCCTTCATGATGAGCAGAAAGCGGATCTCCCTGAGTACAAAGACTCGGATGCTGAGTTGGAAATTCCAAGCTTGGTGAACAGGCTTCCTGCTAAGCTCCTGCCTTCTATGGTGTTTAAAAGAGAATCTCTCCCTGATTTTCTTGGTGCTGCAAGAAGGTTGAAGCACGCAAGGGGCATTTTGATAAATACATTCAAAGAGTTAGAATCACATGCAATTAACTCTCTTTGTAATGGTGAAATCCCTCCTGTATATCCGTTGGGACCAATTGTGAGATGTAAAGGAAATAGCTATGATGTGGGTTCAAATAATATCAACGCCTTCAAGGACATAATGCAATGGCTTGATGATCAGCCTCCATGCTCAGTAGTGTTTTTGTGCTTCGGGAGTTGGGGAACTTTCAGCGTTGATCAAGTGAGAGAGATTGCATATGCATTGGAGCAATGTGGACATCGATTCTTGTGGTCTCTGCGTAAACCTCCAAGCAAGGGTAAGATTGAATCACCAAGTGATTATGTAAATTTTCAAGACATTTTGCCTGAAGGGTTTTTAGATCGATCGGTTAAGATAGGGAAGGTGATTAAATGGGCTCCGCAAGTGGAAATCTTGGGGCACAAAGCTATTGGAGGATTTGTATCACATTGTGGATGGAATTCTACCTTAGAAAGTATCTTGTCTGGTGTCCCTGTTGCCACATGGCCATTGTATGGAGAGCAACAATTTAATGCTTTTGAAATGGTGATTGAGCTAGGGCTAGCAGTGGAGATTAAAATAGATTATGGAATTGATATTTTGGAAGGTGATATCAGAGAAATTGTGAGTTCTGATGATATAAAAGGAGGATTAAAGTTACTGATGGAGAATGGAAGTGAGATTAGAAAAAAGGTAAAAGAGATGAGTCAACTGAGCAGGAAAGCTTTGATGGAAGATGGGTCTTCATACTCTGCATTGACTAGTCTAATTGAAGATGTGATGGACAACATAGCATGCCACAATTGTTCATTATTGTCATGAAAAATAGATCTACAAACGATGTCGCATTGTAAATTTACGTAACCGATGAACAGGTAGCTCAATGGTTATCTCATGCCACCAAGAGAGACAAGTTTCAAAATCAAGTTTATTTTAATAGAAATTCTACTTAAATATTAAATAAATCAGAGTTATAAGAAGATGTTGATTATGATTTATTCAAAGCAAATTAGGATCCAAAGCTATATTCAAGGCAAATTATGCAATGCCTTGTCATTGACTTGTGTGTCTCTATGGAGGTAAATTGAGGGGGAAAAAACGTTTTTTCTTTCCTCGCCGAACCATCCAAGTAAATTGAAAAGAAAGGAGTAAAAACTCGAATTACATTATAATGCAAAACACGAGAAGATTTTGTTAATAAATCGGAACTGAACATGCATGTCATGCCCGAACCATTGGAATTTTTTAAATCGAACATATATTTAAAACAATAATAATAATAATAAAATTTTAGTTATGTGGCCATGGTAACTATTGTGGTTGTGATTTTAGTTATGTGGCCAAGCGTAAGAGTGTCTTTAATATTGTGGTAACTATTGTGGTTGTGATTTAAAAAAAATTATTTTATAAAAAGTATTTTTAGTTGTAGTTGGTTTGAAAAAATATATTTTGATTAAAAAAAAACTTTTCAAATTGAGATTATAAAATAATTGATATATATATATATATATATGATTTTTAATTTAAATATTATAGATTTAACCATTATTATTATATCATGAAATAAATAATATTTTATATAAAATATTTTTTATTGTTCTATTAAATCATGCGATATCTTTCTAATTTATATATTGTTATTAAATAATATTAAATACTAGTTTTTCGAGTAAAACACAATTTTTTTAAAAAAAATTACAATTTCATTACAGTACGAGTAAATTTAATTCATTTTAAACTATTTTTTTTTAAATATTGTTCATAATTAACTGCACCAAATTTTTTTAAAAAAAATTACAATTTCATTACAGTACGAGTAAATTTAATTCATTTTAAACTATTTTTTTTTAAAATATTGTTCATAATTAACTGCATCGATTTTTCGAGAAAAAAAAACAAAACTTTTCTCATTAGTTTTTCAAAAAAAAAATGAACATTGTGATAGTAAAGCATGACTCCACTATTTCTAAAAATAACCATGCCACTATTCCTAAAAATAAGTAGAATGAACATTGTGATAGTAAAGCATGACTTCACTATTTCTAAAAATAACCATGAGAAGTGGCAAAATACTGCTTCTCTAATCCTATAGCTGGGTAGTAAAAATTAGTAGCCCTTACCAAGCAAAATCAGGTTTATTTCCTTTATCAAATATTAAAATATATGGCTATAACTAAATCTCATTCATAATCACATTACCAAATAATATCTAAATGGTTAGCCGTTCAACCATCTATATCATCTATCATGCCCTGAATAATTAGAATTTTTCTAACCATTTGAGCTTTCAGCTCAAAATCCCAATCTCCATGGTCGGAATTTTCAGCTCCATGTTTGATATTAATTCGAAATATCCAAATTTATCCTTACATATTTAATTATATATTTTTTAAAATTTTCAGCTCCATGTTGATATTAACTCGAAATATCCAAATTTATCCTTACATATTTATTTATATATTTTTTAAATTTTCAGCTCATATTTGATATTAACTTGAAATATCTAATTTTATCCTTACATATTTATTTAT